CTTGCTCCTTCCTCGTCTGACCGGGTGAACCATTAATTGGATCATCGTGTACTAGTATGTGAAGTTGAGCTATTCTTTTCTTGAACAGTCAGTGGCCACAATTTCATTCTAGTTTCACCCTGTGGGTCAATGTCTCAGGTGTTCGGCGATGCCAGGGCGTACAAATACTAGTATGCTTGAGGTTCAAGTTGGTGGTGTCGCATCTACCTCGGTCTGCGCTTCATGTCTACAGGAGTCTATCAACTTCCCGACTTGCTCGCCTTACTGCCCAAGAAACCTGGCGGCGATATCAGTCCCCATTTCAAGGAGGCTGATACTGGATTTAACGCATGGGTGCACAAGAAGCTCGGCTGGTTCTTCGCTAAGGTTCGTGTGCGCATATAGTGGCTAGTGCCTGCACTCATCCCTGGTTGACCTGCGCTGCTAGGAGGTGTATAACGCCGAGATGCCTCTGCTGGCTGCCGTAGCATGGCCCCTTGCCTCTTGTCAGGAACTGAGGGCGATTCTCGCTTATATGACGTCATCTTTTATGCTGGAAGAGTTGACGTATGCATCTTGTCGCTGATCACACCAAGCTGTGCTCACGCACTCTATGTAGGGACCGTTGTTCGAGCACAAAGGTTGTGGATAATTCACAATTGTGGATCAACACGCTACGAGACACCGACGGGGGGAAAACCTCTCGCCATCCGTTCATCAAAACCATGCGCAAGTTAGTTGGTTGAATGACCTTCTCTCTTTCTTAATGATTTACCAATCCCTTGCAACGCAGGGAACTAGTCCCCATGATGAAGGCAGCTGTCGATCCATTTCACTGGCCCCAATTCATCGCTGCGAACGAACGATTTGCCAAAAATGTCATTCGAGAAGCATTCGTCCGTGACGCAGATGTAAACGAGAACGCGGTTAACAATATCCAATCATACACGATCATGCGTCGGGAGACGATCGGCACGCGCCCATGCTTTGTCCTAATGCGGTCCACTCGCCGCCTCTACATTCCTGACGATGTTTTGGCCCATCCACTCATGGAAGAGATGGAGGATGTCGCCATAGACATGGTCTCCATTGCTAATGTGAGAAAATTCCCGCGGGAACGTTCTCTCCTCTAAGTGTAGTTTGTTGTTTTCCCCCAGGACATCTACTCCTTCAAGAAAGAATACGGCGACAACGGGGCATTGACCAATCTTCTGACAATAATTCAGAAAGACCCCACGACTGACCACCTGGATTTGCAAGAGAGGATTCGTTACGCCACAAAGCTCTTCAACGCGGCCTTGGATCGCTTTCACTCATGCAGGCAGAAGCTACCTTCATTCGGTGACGTTGCTCTAGATCGACACGTCTCGTCATACGCAGACGGTTTGGTCGACTGGATTGTGGGGAATATCGAATGGAGTATTGTTAACCACCGCTATAATACCTTCGTACACGAGAAGGACAGGCGGAACAACATCATGAGGTTGAACAGCCGCCTCCTCTCATCGCAACACTTCATACTTTTCTTTATCGTCACGGTGCTGAGTATCTTGTTCGGACATCTTCCAGTGCAATCGTTGTACCGCGTATTCTACGCCTGATTGTTATTGGCCATGTAATGCTCCCCTTCTTTTAGTTAACTCGGCTTCCAGAGTCTGTATTCTCTAACAGATCTTACCCACAGATCTGATTGTACTGATTTGATTGTACCCCATAATGTAGTGACTACCGATTTGAAAACAACACGACTTTTCTGTCATGCGCCTTCCAGGTCTCTACAGGACCCTCGCACTTGACTGCCCAAATCTCCTCACCATCAAAACCCGTCAGACTGACGGCACCGCATCGTAAGGACATAGACTGCGTATCCTGATTCTCGGTGACGAGACTGGTGTTCCTTAGCATCTGTGCTGTCCTCTCGCGTTCGGTCGCATCCTCGTTTGTGATATAGCACAAAGACATGTGAGGGAACCTCGGGGCGCTGTGTTTCAAGCCAGAACGACCCAAGGTTGTCACGATCTGACTTTGTAGATCAACCAGGTCCCCGGTACGCCGTATGTCGATGAGCACTGAGCGGAAATAGTGGTCATCAACCACAAGAGATTGAAAGTCGGCACGGATGGACCTCTGATTGGTAGGAATCGCGTCGAGTAGCGCATCCCACTCAGGGGTTCCTGGCTCCGAGTCTGTGTTGGGGATTGACACAAGCGTTATGTGAGGTATGATGGTGGGATATGAAAGTGGGGAGAGATCATGATCTGATGATTGCGATGGGCGTTTCGGTAGAACGGATTGTATGAGACCAATCTGCTCTGCTGAAGGCACGAGCCAGAGAGAAAGGCCTAGAGATAGAGGGGGAACGTTCGACTTGTCAGCGTCAACTGATACTAGCCTTTCTCGAGTTCCCAGCACTTACCCATCGTTACAACAGTTAACCGATCGAGTAGGCCTGAAGATAAGTGATGATTCACGGGTTGAAATTCTAAGTGTCCTCAAGACCTCAAGGTTTCAAGCTCACTAGGAGCTTTAAGGTGAGAGTGCCAGTGCACGCGGAGGCAAGAGTAAGGGCCGGCCGCCGTCATGTACATGGCAGGGGCTGAGAATACTACGGGAGCTTCAACACAGCAAAGAAGACATTTTAATTTACAGACAAGGCCCAGCTATAGGTGGACTTCGCTACAAAACTTTGGGCCAGTATGAAACTAGAAAACACGAATCCCGACCATCGTACCGCAGCGCTCATTAAATACATCACCGTCAATGATGAAATTTCGGCCATACACCATGGACTTGTCCTTGTTACTCAGAAGACTCGCGCGGTCCCAAGCTTACCCAACTGCTTTCAACCCCAGAACTTTCCAAGTCTCCTTCATTGCTTTCTACGTCCGCGTCAGAACCCGTCTCATGCTCATGCACTAGATCGGAATGCGACGCGGTAGCAGATGGGGGTTTGGGAATAGTAGGGATGTGATTCAGAGATCGATGCAGAACCAAGGAAGAGGTCGCCGCGAGTGCGGGAGTCCCAGTGGGTGGAGCAGATACAGGAGGTAGCACGGGAGTAACAGGGACATGGCGAGGCTGGGTCGGATAAACCGGAAGAAGGCGGTTTCGAATATCCACGAGGGTGCGAGGAAGAGCAAGAAGGCTATCCAGGAGTACAGCGGGGAGGAAAGATACGATCGTGTATGTATAAGCTAATAGTGGCATGAGCAAGCGAAATGACTGTCTAGTAAGGCAACTTACCACCTCCTCCGACGGAAAATCTATCACCACGCATCCAATCTTTGATCTTTTCATTCACAAGTCCGAGAGCAATCCCAAAAACGACATTTCCAGCTCCCCTGGTTTTGGTCCCTGCGCTGACCACTCCGATGAGACTATCCACGAATACAGAGACATCTTCCGGAGTTCGCGAACTTCGAGTCTCTCCGAGGGCATTTAAGGCTGCACCGTAACTAGCCTTTTCCGAGGGGGTCCAGTCGCTCATAGTATTTGTAACCCCAGAATCATTGTGAGATGGACCAACAGCCCCAACATCGACGGTGACAATGCGGATGGTACCCATCCCTTGGGCAGTCGCAATTTCCCGACGCAGAACATCGGCAGCACGAAGAGTAGCAGCAGCACTCATGGCGCTAACGCCACAAAATGGTAGCCCCACACGTGCGTCAGCAGCTGGCAAGCAAAGGATGATCGATTTGCGTCCACGTGTGCGTTGGGCGTCTGCGCGGAGTAATGGCAACAGGGCCTGGAGTGTTTGGAGTGGTGCGATGTGTGTGGAAAGAAGATGGGGAAGGTAGGTACTGCGCAAGGAAATCTGTTCAAGTGGGGCTGGTGCGCAATGGATAGAGGCAGTTGGCATGGTCAGCAATGATATCACGGAATACAATAGAGGGTGATAGGGAGTAGCTGCATAGGGGTCACCCGCAGCAGTGATAGGAAATCGTCGGGACAATGTAGACGCCAGAGACCGAAGGAAGATTGGAATAGTTCCCGGCTGACGGGCAGTGGTCAGCTGGTATCAGGAGAACGTCGTGGTGCCACGTACTTCATTCGGGTCCAGGATGAGAGCACGAACGTAACCATGTCCCTTGTTCTCAATGTCACTGACAGCCTCTGGAGATGAGACGCTGGTGATAACAATATAACCCTGTTTCTCGAGTTCCATTATCAAAGGAAGTCCCAGGGGGTGGTCACCGCCCAGAACAACTGTAACAATTCATTAACCTGCTAGTTCCAGGCGAAAGATAGACCAACAGAACATACCGACAACCTGACGCTTCTCAGGTTGAGCAGCAGCTATCTTGATTCGTCTCCTGTGCACAGACCTCGTGTGGACGGTGCTATATCCTGCCAGCAGACCAGCTCCGAGAGCTGAAATGACCATGCCTGAAGTTATCCATGGGTGCTGAATAATCCAATCCCCAGCCTTGTTGATGAAGGACTTTGGCGGAGGGGGTGGGGGTGGGGGTGGTATTTCGAATGCGCCGAGACCAGGAACATGGATATCCGGGAGAGAAGGGAAGGAAGGAGGACCAAAGCGGGAGATATCAACCCAAAGACGATTCACAGCCTCACGGATATTTGGAAGATCAGGCGAGACAGCCGCCAGAGACTCTGAGACGAAGTATTCGACAGACTCGAAGTATCGCTCCAGCTCATCAATTGTGGGAACCATGGCTGTCGGCATCTATGTAGGAATCTGCCAAATAGCAGAAGAGCAACAGTGACGGTGACGGTGGTGCCAAGTAGTTGTAGTCGATGTGGATAGTCGCACCGAGCTGAATAGGGATACTTCTCCGAACTCCGTGCCGACACCCACAGCACTACACAATAATGGCGGTAATTTTCTCCGACTAAGTAGCCTACAGTTAATCTCGACCTTGTCCAACAAGTGTGTTACTATCGGTGAGGGTTCCTGGCATCCATTACCCTGGCGGACCACGAGAAATTAACACGAAGGCCCATCAGTCAAACCAAACTCAATTGTGCTCGAAGGAAAAAAGGTGAAAAGAATTATTCGACGCCAGCAGGATTCGAACCTGCGCACTCAAAGAGTAACAGATCACTTGGGGTTCTAATCTGTCGCCGTAACCACTTGGCTATAGCGCCTTGAAAGCGTTTAGCATCAAAGCCGTGCATGTAACGACGCCTCATTTCAAATGAGGTAATAACCGATGCATAAGGATGATATTTTGTTGCAAGCCGACACCCTGCTCTACTCTACGATAATGTTAAGGAGCACCTAAGAGCACAGAGTAGGGTAAAAACTGTCCGCCACATGCACATCAACACGTCTAGTTACCACTTATCTCCTTAGCGAGTTGCTCGGCCTTCGCCTTGACATCCTCGATCGTACCAGCCATGTAGAAAGCAGACTCAGGCAAGCTGTCGTGTTGGCCGGCGAGGATCTCCTTGAACGACCGGACGGTATCCTTCAAAGACACAAGTTTGCCCTCATAACCAGTGAAAACTTGCGCGACTTGGAAAGGTTGCGACATGAATCGCTGAATCTTGCGGGCACGCTCGACCTGTATTCATGTTGTTAGCAAACAACCAAGGTCCACAGTCCTCCAACGCACAGTCAACTTGTCTTCTTCTGACAACTCGTCCATACCCAGGATGGCAATGATATCTTGCAGTGACTTGTAGTCCTGGAGAATCTTCTGCACAGCAGTGGCGACCTGGTAGTGCTCCTGGCCAACGATGCGAGGGTCAAGCATACGGGACTTCGAGTCAAGAGGGTCGACGGCGGGATAGATACCGAGCTCAGCGATGCCTCGGGACAATACGGTAGTGGCATCCAAGTGAGCGAAAGTGGTTGCCGGGGCGGGATCCGTCAAGTCATCAGCAGGGACGTAGACAGCTTGCACTGAGGTGATAGAGCCTTTCTTAGTGGTGGTGATACGCTCTTGCCTGTATCAGGGTCAATTCAACGGTAGACCGAAAGGAGAAATGTTTGCGTACATGCCACCCATATCAGTGGAGAGTGTGGGTTGGTAACCGACGGCGGAGGGAATACGACCGAGCAGGGCCGACACTTCGGAACCAGCTTGGGTGAAACGGAAAATGTTGTCGATGAAGAGAAGCACGTCTTGACCCTCCTCATCACGGAAGTACTCCGCAATGGTAAGACCGGTTAGGGCGACACGGGCACGAGCACCCGGGGGCTCGTTCATCTGACCAAAGACCAATGCGACCTTGGAGTCGCCTTCGAGGTTGATGACACCAGTCTCAATCATTTCATGGTAGAGATCGTTACCCTCACGAGTACGCTCGCCGACACCTAATTCCCAACGAAGGACATCAATCTTCCAAGCGAAAACTTTGCAAACATGCAAGCATACGAACCACAGAAAATAGAGAAACCACCGTGAGCCTTGGCAACGTTGTTAATCAATTCCTGGATCAACACCGTCTTGCCAACACCAGCACCGCCAAAGAGACCAATCTTTCCACCACGGGCATAAGGGGCCAAAAGGTCGACAACCTTGATACCAGTCTCGAGAACTTCAGCGGTGGTGGACTGGTCAACGAATGGGGGAGGGTCTGCGTGAATAGGGCAGAGCTTGACGCCCTTGATGGGACCACGCTCGTCAATGGGTTCGCCAATAACGTTCATGATGCGGCCGAGAGTAGCGGTACCAACAGGGATTTGAATGGGGGCACCAGTGTCGATAACCTTCTGGCCACGGACGAGACCTTCCGTACCGTCCATAGCAATGGTACGGACGGAGTTCTCACCGAGATGTGACGCAACCTCAAGAACAAGACGATCACCGTGGAAACCCTGGACCTCGAGGGCATTGAGGATGGGAGGGAGATTGTCAGTCTCAAACTGAACGTCGACGACGGCACCAATGACCGTTTTCACGGAACCAATGGCTCCCTTGGCTTCTGTTGCATAAGTGCGTGCTACATTCCGAACACAGCCGTTCCGAGAGTGAAAAAAGTGTGGCAAGTGCAAAACATCAAGGTGAGGACGCCGTAAAACGGAATAAGACGAAGAAACTGACCTTGTGAAGAAGCGGGGAGACGTGAAGAACGAACTGCAGCGTTTTGTTTGGGTGGGGGAGAAGGGACCGACAGACGCGACAACAGCGGTGCTGCAGTCTGCAAGAACCGGCTGGAGTTCTTTGCACTGTTGGCGGCTCTCCTGGAGACGCGGGTGACGCCACGGGCAGTAAGCATTATGGTGAACGACGACGAAGACGACGACGGAGGTAAGGAAATTAGGTGGAAGAAATACTCGACTTAACACGCCAAAGAATTTTGAATTCAGTTCCAATCTCCGACTCTCCCGACTTTGGCCGTCTGCACTTATGTAAAAATCTAGTCTCTCACTTCAGCTGGGCTGTGCTGTACTGACAGTCGTCTTACTCAAGGACATCGGGTATGTTCAGCGACACTGGTGCAATGTGAGTCATGTAGTTGCTTTAGGTGTTGTCACTATGCCAGGACTTGGAGTTTGCATCTCGGCCACCCGTTGTCCGCTGAGATGGATTTAATTACCTTGATCGAATTTGCGTCGTCCATGACCAATGAATCTATCCAATCGAGCAACTCGCCCAGCGCTCAGCCACTGACGCGTCGTAGTCTTTCCCACGACCGTGTCCGAACGCGTAGTCGCGCATCGTGTACTAAATAATCAGTTGAAGCCTTGCTTGCTTTTCTTCGACAAAACTTATCAAAGCCACCCCGCACCGCAACCAATGAGCGAGGCGTTTATATCTACTGGGCTTCTTGGATTAGGACCTTCCACACTATCCCTCGATCCCCAGAGTTCAGTCTCGTTGAGTTCAGGATTCGTCTCCAATGGCCTCTTGGGTGATTCAGTCACTTCAGTACATGACGAGGATGCGACGCTAGTGTCCGACGACCTTGCCGAACTAACCCGGGGTTGCAACCCGGACGCGCTCTCACGCGAAGACTGCGATCAGAGTACCTTTCATTCAAGTGACGTTGGCCCAAGGAACAGAGAGAATTGTAGGTCACGAGGCAATTTCGCGCACATACCAACTGATTTGCACTACCAGTACAACACACTACTACATTCATCTCGACAGGGTTACTTTCAGAATCGCACGGTAGGTCTCTCGCTCTCGGACAAGCCATCGTCCTCACTTCCCATAGACGACGTATTTCCGCTCATCTCCGATATACTTGGCCTCAAGCCCAATCAATCCAAGCATACAGCAACGAACTCCACCCTTCCCAGTACTTTGTCGCACACTCGTGCACCTGTTAGGGCAACAACCATTGATGGCAAAACTGTGTACATCAAGCGTAAACCTCATGTTATGGAGTTGCGAAAGGTATGCGAGACATAGTTGATGCATGTTTCCTTCTTATGTCCTGCTAGTCAACATCCTCGACCTCACGAATGGCGACTTTGCTCGATGTACCTATTCATAGACTATTGGACGAGCTCTCGGCTTCCACAGCTTTGAAAAAGAACATCTCGTACGTGATCAGACTATTCCGTATGACGAGCTCTAGTTTGACGAGACGACGAGAAGCACATCAAAACCAGAAAACTTTCACCAGCCGGTTGAAGACAAGTTGTGGGTCGACAGATACCGCCCTCAACGCTTCACTGAGCTCTTGGGCAATGAACGAGTTTCTAGGGAAGTGATGGGATGGGTAAAGCAGTGGGACTGGTGCGTGTTCGGTAAGAGAAACAAGAAGCGGGCCAGAGAAGACGACCAGAACTACGACCCCGAGGACGAATACCATCGACCAAGAGAGAAGGTCAGGCCGCACGTATTGTGCTCCCATGCAAGAGCTCATCCGATTACTACTAGTTGCTCTTAATATCCGGACCTCCTGGACTTGGCAAGACCACGCTAGCCCATGTCATTGCTGCGCAAGCAGGCTACGAAGTCATCGAAATTAACGCCAGGTCATCCAGTTTCACTGCCCCCGTCCGAGAGCTACACTGAATGTACGGCAGTGATGCGCGATCTGCACAGGTCATTGACGATCGGATACGTCCCGCACTTGAATCAGGTTCTGCAGTTGGGAGTACGAAACCTGTCCTGCTCATCATTGATGAAATCGATGGGGCGACCGGTGGTGGTGGTGACAATGTACGCCGCCCGTCTAGCCAACCTTTTGTGCCCCGCTAACCCTTCACTGTTCGCAGTCGAGTAGTTTCGTTCAGAAGCTCGTCTCACTAACCTTCGACAGACCGAAGACAAGGCGTGAGTGATGTTTAGTGCCTTCACTGACGTTCTGACTTATAGTTGACAGGGAAAACTCGAGACCAGCAGGATAAACGACCCTTGCTCCGACCAATCATTTGCATATGTAACGACCAAAACGCCCATTCCCTAGCTAAACTTCGTCCACACGCAAGGCAGATCCGATATACGCGACCGGCTGATATTCACATAGTCAAGCGACTTCGCGAGATCTGTGAACTTGAAGGGCTGAGTGCCGATACCAGAGCACTCAGCACCCTTGTTGGTGTCGCGAAAGGCGATCTGAGAGGTTGCCTAAATACACTACAGGTCCGTCACTCTTTTTAGCGATACAGCTGATAGATTACTGAGCAAAATAACACAGTTTATAAAATCGCGCAACGAGAATGTCACGGAACCTTTGATTCGTCACGCTACCGCGGGTATGAAGGAAGCAGACACCACGGCAACAACGGTTCTAAATGAGATATTCTCCCCCTTGTCACGGAAGCGGGTCAAAGAGCTTGCAATGGGTGAGGAAGAAGAGGCACGATATGTAAATCGTCTGAGCCGAGCTATCGAGGGACTTAACAATTTCTCGAGCATTGCAAACGGTACGTAACTTCATCTGCAAGTTTGGATCGCTTTCGTCATTCATTCGCCTCAGGATGCTTTGCGCACTACACGAACTGCCAGCGCCACGAACCAAGCATGTCTCGGTATGAGAGGGCAACTGAGTGGCTAGGAACTTTCGATATATTTTCCTCAATCATGTATTCCGATGGTGACTTCGGTTTGCACGCATACCTCCCATATCTACTCGTTCCATTACACCCACTATGCCGAGAGCGTGCTGGGCAACGAGTGGAAAGGGACTCTGCAGATTGGGATGTAGGCGTCCTCAATTATCGAACCATATGGCTGCTGATG